ACTAAAGATATTAAGTTAATAAAGAGCAGGAAAATTGATAACACACATCTTACTAATAATCAGCAATACATATTTAGTTTATTTGTAGAGTTTACTATATAATCAGAGCCAGGATTTTTTTTTTTAATGTAGGATGGGGAAAGAATCTCCAACATTGCCTGTTGGCCTGCTTACCTCAGTGGCCATGTTCTACCTTCAGCAAGCAGACCTTCATATATTAAGTGCCCAAGTTCTAATGGCTTAAGCTAATTTCACTTTTTTGTATGTTTCCATAGAATTGAGAAGTTGAATAGGCAACTTTTCTGCTTTAAGCATAATTGAGTCATTTAGAAATAGCAGCTTGTCCTTTTTCAATTTCATGCAACATGTATATTTTAGGCCATAAAAGGTATTGAAAAACTTGTATGCATGGAGGAATTGGGTCAAAAGGTAACCATGTCATTCTTCCATTAAAGTTCTTAAAATCTGGGTTAAAAATGAGAAATGATATGATTTCAGTCATCAGTACATTTTTAAAATGATATTTCACAACTTTCTGAGTATTTGTATTACATTATTGGTAGGTATTCAAAGATTATCACGTGTTCCTTTTTAAATGGAAAATTTAATTTAGATCATGTAAACATTTACACATCAGATTCAGAAAGTCACTGCTGTTATTCTGAGTAGAATGTTTAGCTTTTGTAAGGCGGAATGAGCTGGCTTCACCTATTTTTGCTTTGTTTGGCTATTGCCCCCCCCCAAAAAAACCCCTAGTTTTCCAGACCTGTGTTAAACAAGGGATTTCTACTGTATGCCATGGAGTGAATCAGGGGAGAGAAGGCCAGATTATACCATATTCTGTAAGAACTGAATTCAGTCACACTTTCCTAATGGAGAGTTTACTGCTCTTAACAATGCTATGCCTTGTACTTTGCCTAGCAGCACCCGTTTTTTACCTCTGTGGTCAGTGCTGTTGGCCTGGAACCTCACTTAGGGATAAAGACTATGGGATACCCTGTGCTGCTTCTGCATTGAAAGACCAGCTGGGGAGAGATTGCCATGGAGAAAATCTATGTGGTTGCTAAGAATTGACAACTATTTGATGGCACATAGTCCATCAATTGTTTGTTTAAAAAAATCTTCCAGATCTATCTTTATATTAGTAATCTACAGATCTATCTATACTAGTATAGATCAAGATAGATATGTTGAAGATACATCAATTGCTGCCACTACTTTGATCAGCTCTAGTACTTAATTTTGTAATACTCACTTGATATGAATTAAAGTTGCAGGAAAGTATAGATTAGATGTAAGCAGCAGAAGCACAAGCAGAATCTGTGGAATGGTAGGTAAATAAAAGATGGAACAACATACTGAGGTCCAAAAAGATTCTGAAGTTTTTAAGTCAATATTTTTGGCCTAAAGCAGGTAGATACCATAAGCATGATATTACAGCTATTCTGAGTTTTTATAGGAGTCAGACCCAGCTCATGTTGTAGATATAGAGCAGCCTAGGGAAGGAAATGGCAAGAATCTTCATACTGTTTGCAGCCACAAAGCTGAAAGTGCCTAAAATAGCTCTGAACATGCAGAACATTGGTTTTGTTTTGTTTTTATAAACTGAGAGACTTTCAGTTGTAAATTTTCTATATACACTGCTTACAGTCCTTAATCTGCTTTTCCTAGTAGAAGGTTTCACTCCTACAACTGCTTTTTCTGGATTCCTCCTTGTGATATTAGATATTGCTTTCTCCTTCTGTAATTAATGAAGATCAACTTTCATATATAGACAACATGGACATCTACAATTTCCCAACTCAGAGTGGGTGTATAGACTATCAATCACCTTATAGTTCCTGGAGATTATTCTGTTTCAACAAATTGTTGCTATTTCTGGTAAGCTAAGTTTAGCTGTGTAGGCTTTTGGATTAGTCTCTGAAAATCTCAAGTTCTGTATCTGAAAAGAGGAGCAAGATGTCAGTGCTGGTAGCTGAGTGTTGTTATCCTTTGATGGCATTAACTCAATCTCAGGCTTTTGGTCTGTGGATAAAATTTGCATGGTCTTGTTTCCAGGTGTTCATAGGAGCAACTGTGCTTCTCTGAAAGTAGAAGCAAGTATTTTCTATTCCCTCTAATTGTGTCATTCTTGGTCTTCACACTATAGTACCACAATGCCTGATACTGTTTATATACAGTTGTTGGTTCTGACCACCCCCTTGGTCCATCTAATTTATTTCACATTTGGGATTGTGGATACAACTGGAAAAATAGGTACTTACTGTAAATACTTAAGACATTTATGGAACAAAACGTTTCTGGCCTGGCTTTCTTCCTCTTTTACTTCTATAGATTGTCAGGGTAGCTGGGTCTTTTAACCATCATTATTAAGATTACTTGGTTCTGGCTTTGGCTCATCATCAGTTCAACATTTCTTACACCTCTGCCAACTAACCTTAAGTCAGTTTCCATTTGTAGCTTTTGGGCCAAAGTCTTGTCCCAGTACCCACAACAGTCTGTTCTTGACAGCAGAAATGAAACTTCTTGAAATTCACAGTCATATGCATTTTCATGCAGCCACTTTTATATAAGAAACACTAGATTCACCAGGCTTCTGTGTCCTTTGGTAAAACCAAATTCTCTCAAGGATCGAATCATCTTGGGGAGAATATATTCAACAACACTTTCCAAAACAAGAAAATAGTTATTTTATCTGCAGGACCAGCTGAATAGAAAGTTTTGAAAATGTGCTCTGCCTGTGGTTTTTAGCAGCCGTTGTGCTTTATAACTTTTCTGTAGAGGGTGAACTTCTTCTAACTAAGATCTGTCAGGCTTCCTAAAAACAATGACTTCTGTTGGGGAAAATTTGCTGTGCTGATCCTCAAAACTACATAACTTAAGACTTCAGTTGGGAGTTGTACTTCATTGAAGGAATTTTAAAGCTGCAAAGCAGTCCTAAATTCTGACACCATGTTTGTTAGCATTTTACTACCTTTAGGAGGCCTCTGCCCATATGATCCATTGGCTGGCAGCTCATGTACTAAGAAAGTTCCTCTTGATGTCTAGCCTGAACCTCTTTCCTTATTATTTTAACTCCTTGTTTCTTCCCTCTGGGCCACTCTCTCTTTGGTGTGACAACACTTCAGATGTTTGAAGATCGCTATCATAGCTCACCTTAGTCATATTTTCTATAAGCTAAACATATCTGGTTCTTTTAACTCAAACAGGATTTGGTTTCTAAACCCTTCTCTAGGCTCTGGTTTGCTCTGTCCCTTTTGAATTGCGGCACCCAGAATTGAATATAAGGTTTGACTGTTGCTTCCCATAATCTGGACTCTCTTAGGTTTAATGCACCCATTACATGCATTATAAAGATTACTTTTGATTTGGTTGAATGTTCAAATCCTTGTAATTTTAAAGTAGCTATTTTTAAATTTCTGTCACTAGAGCAGCTCACGATAAAGTTGGAGTTATTAGAATGTTATGAATTCCTCATAGTCAGTAGCACTATTTGTATATCATATTATTGCTTTTGGCTTTAGCAAAAGCATAATTAAAGATAGTTTATTTTGTGTAAATAATATGTTTGCAGTGCATAGTCTTGAATATCCTTTTTATTTTTATTTAATAAAGATTTGCATTGCTTGCTTGTCATAATGGGTGTTAACATTATGTAACAGAAGAGACTACTGCACAAAATAATCTCAATCTGATAAATCGCCATAACTTGAGTTTGTCTTGATAAACTATGCCCAGCATATTAAAATAACAGATACAACAAAATACTATCTCACTATATTTATATATGGTTATCTTGTGTCATGTCAACAGTGAAGACATCAGAGAAAGCTACAACTCAGTGCTTCCACATAAGCATTATAATATTTTTAACAAGCATAATTAAAACAGCTCAATAATACATCTAATCAAATGTTTTATTTGTTAACATTGTCAATTGTTGCTTGAAGAAATGCCCTCAAACCTCTAGTTCCACTGGCAGTAATTTTTCAGTGAAGGAGATTCTGAGAGGCTGTTGCAAGAACCCACGGATCAGCAGAATGTCCTTGAATAAGCAGACTGAATTTAATGGGCTAAGAACTTGACTAACTTTGTTTGGTTGAATAGTTAAAGACTCAGTTGATTTAAAGTAAAATACCATTTTTAAACCAATGTTCAGTTATATACATTAGCCCCATCCCTGTTAGCCTTTCGGAAAGCCTAAAAAGCCCAGCAACCATGGGGATTCCATGGGGAACCTGCAAAATGGTTGTATTGTGCCTAGATGGTTGCTATCTCCCGCAATCTGGCTTTTTATTTATGTTTGTTTATTTTAAGTGTATTAATGGTTGTGATATTGTTTTAATTGTTGCTGGTCGCATGCCACCCAAAGTCATGTTCAGAGATATGGGTGACCATGTAAATTTGCTAAATAAAATAAATAACTTTTTTTAAAAAATAACTTTATTCAATTTTAAAACAGAAACAATAAAAACTAACAAGAACTAATATAAAAGAAAGTAAGGGGAAAAAAATGACTTCCGACCCTCCTCACAACAGATATAAGTATGCATCAAACTCTTGCTCTAAGTTTACAAGATAACTTTCATTATTTCTATTTACCCATGTTATTCCTAATCATCAAATCCATACAACATAATTTCATTCTTTTCTGTTTCCCACAAAAAGTCCAAAAAAGGTTTCCAATTAATGTTAAAATCGCACAACGTCTTTTCTTGAATCAAAGCTGTCAATTTTGCCATCTCAGTGAACTCCATCGACTTCGCCATCCATTCTTCCACTGTAGGTAGTGTCTTATCTTTCCACCTTTGTGCATGTAAAAACTTTGCTGCTGTTATCATATATAAGAACAAAGTTCCATGAGTTTTTTCCAACTGTTTGTCCATCAGACTCCAACACTCTATTTCCTGTTCTCCTTGATACCTGTTGCATACTTCACTTCTGCGGCATTCTCAGGGTTTACTCAAACGAATAACACATTTGTTTTTGTGATTTAATAGGTTGCACCTAATGATGAAGCTGTTATAACATTGCTTTGTGAATGGGCTGTGAGTAGTAAAAGATCTGGCAAGCACCGGGCAATGGCTGTAGCTAAATTATTGGAGAAGAGGCAAGCTGAAATTGAGGCAGAAGTAAGTTATCTGTTATTCTTCATTTCTCGAGGAAAATTTAGTTCATATTTTAGAGGCCAATTACAAGCACTGATGTTTCTGATCTGCAATCCAAATGGATCTATCTACAGAGAATCTTTAGAAGGATTCTAAGGAACTTTAGCATGCTTCTTACATTTTGGAACAAAAACAATGAAAAAAGTGTTGGCATATGTAGTTCATTTTGAACCTATAGGAGGGTAATTAATCAAAATCTTACAACTTAAAAAAAATATTAAATTGCAGTTTTAAAACTGCTGAAATGATTCTTCAGGCTCTGGTTAATTTTTTTTTTACTGCATCATGTAAAAGAAGTTATTTAAATATAATGGATAGATGCAAGAATCCTTTTTTGTTCATATAGCATCATTATCAGCAGTAGTAATATTTTTAATTCATATAGGCTTGCATTCATTGTTTCTTTCTCTGTAGATAATATTTGTATGCAATGTTCATGGCTCTTTACAGAAGATTATAAAAGATGTTCCAGTATTGAAGAGCTTATATTCTATATTTATATATTTGTTGAATGTATACCTTCTGCAATCAACTGACCCCTTGGTGGTTTACAGCAAATGAGAGAATAAATATATTTTAAAATGTCCATGATAGAAAATAAAATTAATGAAATTATAAGATCACAGAAATTAATAGTAGTAGTAGTAGTAATAAGTCAGTCAAAGGTATCCTCTATAGTTCTGGTGTGTGAGAGAGATGTAGGAAGAGTCTTTCATTTCTTTAGCAAAGAAACACAGTGAGAGTAGAGTGCAGTTTCTTAATTTGTATTTGTGTTTCACTCAGCCAAGATTCAAATAACGCTTGAATTAAATTTCTTCACAAATCATCACACTGTTCCTATTACAAATGAATTGAGAAGTCCTCTCTCCTTAATTTAGATGTTGTTTGGAATTTCTGGGAAAAGAGGGAGATGAAAGTAATTTTTATAGCTATGATACCACAATTCTACCCTTTTATTTTATATACTTTTATAGAGATGTGGTGAAGTTGAAATCTTGGATGAAAAGGAGTCCATTTCTTCAGCATCACTTGCTGGGTCTAGCCTCCCTGTTTTCCAGAATGTTCTCCTTAGATTTTTAGATACTCAAGCCCCCTCATTATGTAAGTATCAAAGTATGTCTGTTCCAGAGTAGGATTGAATACATTTAATTTTTTTCCAGCAACTGTATTAGTTTCACTTTTGTACCTACTTGGATTTAATGGGAATTTAACAAAATTCAACTCTTTGTCTATTGTTAGCTGATCCAAACAGTGAATTTGAGAAAACAGAATTTGTGAACCTAGTGCTGCTTTTTGGTGAATTTATACGGCATGATGTTTTCTCACATGATGCTTACATGTGCACTTTAATATCACGTGGAGACTTATCTGTCACTGCAGCTTCTAGATCACGCTCACCAACTGGGGAAAACATGGATGAGCAGTATTCTAAGGAGCAAGATGTGAAACTGGAGGTAAGGAATCCATTATGTATGTGTGTAGTTTGGATTATTTGGCCTGTACATTGATGATATGGTGTAGCCATAGACTACAGTCATTTTATGATACTCATATAAAATTAGAAAAAAATCTGAAACAGTAAGTTTAAAAGATAATTTGTAGTTGCCATGATCCTTGGGCTTCCATGGCTGCTACTGGATGAAATGAAATAAAATGTTACTTGCCTGTGACACCTCTCATATTGCAGTGGTCTGGCTCTCCTAGATCAAAGGGTATTTATCAAAAATAATAGAAATAGCTACTTTTGAAAAAAAAATGTAAATGATTTTCTCTCATTTAAATACTGCCAAAATTGTATAGTTCCTGGTGATTTACAATAATAAAAGCTAACACAACAAAGTTTAAAAACCACAATACAAATAAAATATTTAAAAAATAAAATAGGCAATAATAATGTTACAGAATGATTGTGCCAACAAATAGCAGGCAACATCAACTCTCCAAAGTCCTGGAGAAAACATTTTTGAAAGGCCACTATAGTTGGTGTAAAGCTGTTCTACAGAGGGAGGTTAACCACAGAAAAGATAAGCGTAGATAGAATTTGCATGAAAGGATGTACTATTCTTGGGACCATTTTTTTAACTATAGAGGCTCTTGTTTCCGTTCTTCAGGCATTTGGTAAAATCCAGTAGTGTCTGTCTACCAGTGGAAGATATGCCATTGATGGTGTGGACTTTCCCTTCTTCCATATCCCTAAAGTCTGATTTGGAGGAATGGGGGACCCTCCAGAAACAGTCTTAGAAACGGGATGTGGTTGGGAGGAGAAGGATGGGAAACCCTGTTGTGTGAGAGGAAACTTACTTGAGTACGTTCAGTACTGCTCATTATTTGGAACTACAAGAATATTTCTTTCCAACTTTTAAATATAAATTGTAATTTATGGTGCAGAGAATATTTAATCCTCTAGAGCACCCAAGACTGGTTTGCTGCACCCTTTCTTCCTCTTCATTGAAGCACCTGATCCCACAGCAGAAACACACATTTCCTAGGAGATCATTCATTCATTGTAAACAATCTTTCAGGGTCATCTCCTGAGTACAGTTTCCCAAGCTTGTTAACTTTATTATTTTAAGCGCAGTACCAAAAATAACCTACTTTGATTGTGATGTCTGTTGACTATTATAAAGTCTTCACTCTTACTGCATATAATCAATAATTTATTTTATGCTTGGATTCATTTTAATAGTTTGTACCAGTCCACCAAGGGTTTTCATTATACTCTGACTGGCATTTCTTTTTCTCTTTGGTGACAATTAGGAACATAGTCTTATGGAGCACATGTATATTGCCTCAGGAACCACTAATATTTTTGATGATGTAGACAAGAATGACTTTAAGACAGACTTTGGTTCGGAATTTCCAGTAGGTTTAATTTCCTTTTTTTTAAACACACACACAGACACACACGTTTATTCATTCTTCCTTTTGCTACCCATGCCAGCATGACATCACGGAATATGCTCTGATTATCTGCTGTACATTTCTTTTCATATTCTCATGTGCCTCAACTTGCCTAGCAGTAATCTACTCTTATTCTGTGAAACAGTATCATGTTAGGTTTTCAAGTTTCCTCATCTATTTCCACTAAGTTCAAAATGCCATTGTGGTGAATGCATCATGCACATCTTCAAGCATAACTTCATATTTTATTCTGATTTTTCTGTTTAAAATGCTAAAATGTCTTCTGTAGACCTTCTGGCAATGTTGGCATTTGACCTTCCCTTATTTATTACCGTAGTGTGGATAGCCACTTCAGCTGAAGCACCATTATACCAATAAGCATTTATAGTGGCAGGATCCAAAGGAGAATATTTGAGCATAGTGTGATCTGTAGAAATTGGCATTTCTGAATAATCAGTCATCAGCGGCCTCAGAACAAAGATTTCTCAGATGAATGTTTCCCACATCATAAAATAATAATAATAAAAACTTAAATCAACCTGTTTTAAATGTCTTTGATGTATTGTATAAAAGTACACTATAACTGTTTTCTTGCTAAAATAAGAACTATTGGTTTTAATTATGTTCCTGAAAAAGGTCAGTCCTTTCCACCCAAACTTATATAGGATTTACTGTAGACGTTCACCTCAATGTTAGCCTGAACATTCAAGTATTCGGTTTATTGTGTGATGGGCTATTTCCAATGTTTATATCAATAGCCATAGGGAAGAGGTGGAAAAGCATTTTTAAAGCAACCCTTTCTGTTGGGCATGCTGTTTGAGACTGCTGCTGCTTATCTGAAGTAAAAAAATACTCAGACGTCAGATTGTCCTCTTGCTGAAATCCTGGAGAGCTATTGCTAACTGACAGTATTAAGCTAATTAGATCAGTGGTAAGATTCAGTAGAAATCCTACAGTGAAACGATTGCAAATGTTATTGCTTCACTTGCAAACTGCAGTTAAGGAACTGGATGTTTGGATATAACAAAACTGCTATTAACTGAAAACTTACAAATGTCTGCATGCACATTGAACCAAACCTGAATGTATTTTATTATGTCATCTCTATTTACATGAAAGTTAAAAGAACAGAGAGTACATAGGCAGGTTTCTTTGGCATTAGAAATTGATATCCTATTCTTATGTCTCTTTACTCAAAAGCTTTGCATTTGCCCCATTTTTTTATTACTGCAACATAGTGGCTGGGAGCAGGAATAGAAGTTCAGTAAAATGGTCTGTTGCTATTTTTCATGGAATAGGCAGGAGCATGTAGAGGATTTGAACCTAAAAAAAATTATTTGTTTATAATAAAAGATAAATTATTGTTTACTAGAATACTGATATATTGTTAGTATTGAATGCTAGATCTCACCTCCTCATCAGCATCTATGGATTAACCATAACTTCATTATTGCATATTTCAAGATAATTCTATTATAATCAAAATAAATCAGAGACATCTTTGATTTATTTCTTATTTGTTTCTTTATTAAAAAAAATAACCACATTGTACATCTAGAGGACATTTCTGTTTATAATATTAAATGTTTTACCTGACCTAGATCTTTTCTCCAATGCCTGGAGAATCTTGTGAGAATCTGAATTCAATGCCAATGCAAGACAGAAGAGCTTCAATGACTAATGAAAAGTCTACAAAGAAAGAAAAAGTAAGGGAGATGATCTTTCCATCAAACTATCATCTCCTTCGACATTTGCAATATGCAACACATTTTCCTATACCTCTGGTAAGTAACCACTTTCCATCTTTAAGAGTTGATGCAAACTTCTGTACATGCAGATCAACTCCATATATATTAATTAGGAAACAGGCTTCAGTAAATTTATTGGGTTCCCAACTTATTGTCATTGGCCTGTAGCATGTAATCCACAATTTAGCTGGATTGAGACTCACTCTTTTACTGGCTTCTCCATTATAAGTTTCACTGAAAAGAGTAATAGTTTAATTGTGATGAAACGTATTCTGTTATATGTAATGAGACCTAATCATAGGAAATATAACTTGGGATGGATGGAATGAATATTATGATATGATATAAACAGATTAAACCCTTATGTACGCTATTCATTCTTGAATCATGAATTTTCTGTTAGCTAGACTTTACCTTCAGAGAGTCAGTTTGGTATAGTAATTAAAGGCATTGGCCAGAAATCGTGAGACTATGAGTTTTAGACTTACCTCATGCATGAAGCCAGGTTGGTGACTTTGGGCCACTCACACACTCTCAGCCCTAGGAAGAAGGCAGTGGCAAACCACTTCTGAAAATCTTGCTGAGAAAACTGCAGAGATTTGCCCAGACAGTCTCCAGAAGTAAGACTGACTTGAGGGCATCCCCTCCACACATACACACACACAAAAAGACTTCCCCTTCAGTGTATTCTTAACAGCAGGGTCCTATTTCTTGTAACTATGCTAGCCGAATCATAACATGTTAATAAGACTGCTGGTGATTATTTTAAGAGACAGTAATTAAATGTGCAGTGTAAATGTTGTTAACTATATTTTCATCTGACGTGACTGATAATTCAACTTGAACATGGAATTAATTCCTTGATGGGTGAGTTTCCCCTATTTTTAAACATAGCTCAGGGTTCATCAAACCATATCCTCTGGACTACATATATCTTTCTAGGGAAGGATCTCCATGGGCACTCATGCCTATTATGCTGCTTTCATTATTTGGCCCTATTGACCAAGGACTCTTGATCAGAAGCCAGCATGTCCAGTTCTCTGACCTCTGCACTAGCTCTTTCAAAATGGAAATTAGAGCATCTGGTAATCTGGCTTCTACATTGAGAAAACTCAGTGGATCTTGTAGAAGATCAGTAATGGTCGCAACACTGGTAGGTAGGAGAAGCTTTAATTCTTTTTCATAATAGTAGTCTCAGGTGCACTGAATTGTGTGTGTGTGCACATGCACATAAGTGTTCATGTGATGCATGGCTTTACCAATAACAATACCAATATTGTTACTAATACTATGGTCTAAAGGTTGTCAACTCCTGTAGGAGAGCTCAGAGAAACATAAGCCATATGACTATTTTGAGTTATTTAGGATCATGGGTTTATAATGATATTCTTGAAGAATAGTTCAAAATCAAAGCATTTAATATCAAATGCCATTAATGAAACCATCTTGAATTTTAGCAAGAATTAAAAATGCTGGCCTTTAAAAAAATGCACCTGCAGCTTTCTGTGTGTGAGAGATATCAGGCCTAGAGTCAGGGTTGGCAATCTGTGCCTCCTCATTTTTTGAAAACAGGGTGCCCTCCTGAATGTGTGTCTGGAAATTGTCAGCAATTTAGGTGCATCAAGTTACTGCTATGCTTAGAAGACCTGCTTTCATTTTTTTTAAAAAATCCCAGTGTGTCAAGCTCTTAAACTCAGGAAACATTTTTGGAATGCTCTTTATTGCAGGTAGGATAAATAATGTTTAAAGCTTACCAAAGCATTTCTTCAGATCAATTTATACCTAGTATAATTAAGACAGAGTTAGTTTGAGTCTCTTTCTCATACTTCCCCTCTCTCCTGGACCAATGGTCCTATTCCTTCCTCCATGTTCCCAGGGTCTGTTAGACATTCCATCCTACAGGACTAAAATTTTAAGCTTTTTCACAGTGCGTTCCTCTGTGAGGAGAATAATAATAATAATAATAATAATAATAATAATAATAATAATAATAATAATAATAATAGAAACTAGTGCAGCTCCTCTTGGCAGAAAGGATTGCCTGTAGCTGCCCTAAAGGGGAGAAATCTGTGGAAGGTTTTCTCTGATTAATCCTTTGGAACTGTCTTTTCCTACTTAGTTCCATTCAGAGGTGCTTGACATTTCCATAATTTTGAAAGGCACCAGGTTGGAAATAATGGCCTGAGAAACATCTGTTCTTTTGCTTTAGCAATGACACATTGCAATGAGGAGGTGTATAAATATTGAAAACAATGTATAAAATGATACATATTTGGTTCAGATGCATGCATGAGGAAGTTCTCCGTTTGTGTACTTTCTGTGATCTATTTGATTAGAACTTTGTTTCCAACAGTATATAGTTTACTTTTGTATTAAAAACAGCAAAGTAAAGATTTCAAAAAATAACTTACTAATTAAGCAGAACATGAAAACACGGATCTCTTTTGAGGGCCTTCATTATGTGTGCCTCACCACATCCAAAAGTTCTTAATCTGAACTCTGGCAACATCTAACAATTATTCACTGGAAAAACAACCTCTACTAATTTTTTGGTAACAAGTGAAGACGTAAAACTTACACAGGCCTTTTAATAAGCTTTTTAGCTACTGTTCATGTTTCATGTTTTCTGCTGTTTAAATTATAGGCCTGTATGAGGATACTGATACTGTATTTTTACTATTTAATTATGAGCTGCTCTGGGAAGTACATAGCACATTAGAGGATAAGGTATAAACTACCATTTGTTATGCCACCTGAATTGTCCATGTCCGTGTTCCCCTTCTGCACAGTCTTACCTGCTGCCCCTCACCCCCAACAATCCCCAATCTTATTTAAACCATAGGAGTGCAAACTGTGCCAAACACATGGGGAGACAAATGCATTTTTAATGTCCAAAGAACTGTTCAGGTGGAAAGAACTGCAGTGTCAACTGAAACATGAAACTGTGATATTTTTTCTCCATGCATTTCTTGATCTTGAGGAACATGTTTATCTTTAAATGATACAAAAGTTTTGGTCACTGTTAGTCTAAATGTCTTTGAAAGATAAAAATACAGAATGGGGTCAAAGCACAGATTTGATACACCAAATAGCAAGGTAGATTCTTTTGCTTTGTAGAGAGATTCTCTGAGAAAACAGTCTGTAATTATAGTTTTAGTTTGGCTCAGAGTATATGGGATCCGAACAATATGGTAAGGAACAAAGCATATGATATAGCTTGCAGTGACTAAAAGTATGTTTACCAGAGCTTTTTTTACACTGCGATACCTTTCTGTATATTTGTTTTGATACAGTAATCGGATCACAAGAAAATTAGAGATAAGTACCATAGCTGAAAAATTCAGAAATATTGCAGTACATATGTAATTGGTGAATACATGCCAGTCTCTTCCCACTTTTGTTTTGAAATCAATGCATCCTACATTTGATGATTCTTTGACGTCTTTGATTGGAATCATCATATTTGGTACCATGATGAAGAGAACCATTACCCATACAACTGCTGATATCATCTTGGCAAAACTAGGTTCCTGAATCCTGTAGATCTTGTATCTCTGTGTTAACTGAAGGCACCGGTCCATGCTTACAAATCCCAAGAATATGATTGATAAGTACATATTAATATAGATTAGGCATGCTGTGACTTGACAGTGGAATATTTTCAGTTTCCATGGGGCAACTCCTAAATCTACAATTATTTTCACTGGCAAGGCAAGGGTCAGCAAAAAATCTGTTGTCAGGAGGTTAATTAAGTAGACATTCATGCATTTGCGATGCTCTGTCTGCAGGAAGGTCCAGAGGGCAAAGCAGCTTCCAATGAACCCAATAAGAAAGATCAAGTAATAAATATAAGTAAATGGCTGCATTTGAGAATAAATATTGCATTCTGAAGTATTGGTTAAAGCCATCTGAAATGTGTAACTGTAGAGACAAATTGTAGGCGTTGCCTTGAATCTGTGAATGAGAGAGAGAAGAAAAATTATTATGTTTGGAAAGAGCAACAAAACTTACAACCTAACATACATATTTGCGTAAGAGCCCCACTACCCACATTAGCCCAAGGCACAGGAGAAAACTGTTTTTAAAGACCCTTTGAATAAGGACAGGTTGGAGAAGGACAGGCACTGTGACAGAGAAGGTTCTCTTTCTTGCCTATAATCTGAGAAGTAGCTTAATTAAGACGTAAATGGTGCTTTTGTATAGCATGTTTGCATAATGTTCAAGGCGTTTCTCTGCAGCAAAACTATTTTTGTATCCGTAAGAGTAGTAACAATTGTTAAAACACACATGCTGAATAGGAAATGGTAAAGGTAACCATTTCCTCTTCAACATGCATGTGCTAACAGTTGCTAGTTGCAAGTTTCTTGCTAGTTAACACTTGCAAGAAATGCAAGTAATTGCCCCCATATGAAAAACAGTGAGCACTAAGTTTTCAATAAATATATGAAATATTACTATTTGCCTTCTCATTCTTAAAAGATGTAGTGTCATTAATAGACAAAGAGAAATCTCCATAAAATACTCTGTTTGCAATTTACATTACCATTTACTCAAAGTTGATGCATTTAATTTTTGTTAACAGTTTATACTTAGAATCCTTTGCCTTTAAAGTAGTCTTCTAAAATGCACAAATATTACTCTGCATGTATGGCATCATAATAGGTGTAAAAACAATTCAAAAGGACACCCTCAAAATCTACAGCTAGGCTCAAATAGTTTTTAAGAAGAGAAATAGGGTGAACATTTTTTTCAGAAGACCGATAAACACCCAAATTGAAAAGAATTCTTTTCAGTCATGACAGTAACCTCATTATTGAAAAAAACTTGGAAGTATTCCTTCCTGATATCTTCCCATCAATGGAAACAATGGCGGCTGAAGAACACTGGACCGATGAAAGTAAATTAATGACAGGATATGCAGGTAGGCCCCTTCACCCTCAGTAGCCACATGAATGCAAAAAAATCTCATCTTGCCCATGAGAATATCTCTGAAATTCTCTTGTACTTTGAAAAATCTCTGTAATCAAACTAAATGAATTATGCTGTTAATAAGTGCAGGTGAATTTCTCTGTCTGGCACTAGATTAAAACAGGCTATAACTCTAAGAAAGGAAACCAGTTGCTGGTTAAGAGACCATACGACCATAATCTCCAACATGTGGTTGTCTGGTACCTTCACAATCAGAATGAGAGGATCTTTTTGAGTTTCCTCAGCTGTTTGGCTATTTGTTCACACCTTCTTTCCACTTTGTTTTACTTCTTTGCTGGTTGTTCTATCCATGTTGTGCCCCCAAAAGAGAAAAATGAACAAAAAGGCTACCAAAGAGAAGGAGAAAAAACAAAAGTTGAGCTCTCCTGATCATCCTAAACTTCATCAAGGAGAGAAAGGACTGTGGAAGAGGTTAAGGCCTGACTCAGCCTGCCATAAATAAAAGGAAGCTCAATGTTCTCTTTTGTTGCATTGGTTGATTTGCCTTCTGTTCTGTGCCTGTTTATTTAAAAGTGGGATAAACTTGTAACAATAATAATACATGTTACCCAATCTGGGTAGGCATTTCAATGGTTTAAAGAGGCTCTATTAGTATAAACCTTGTCATGAACTTCCTACATTCCTTTTGTAGTCAGTAGCCTTACAGTCAGAGAGACCCATATTGTAGTCTCAACTTTTTTCTCCAGCTACACTAAATGCAGCTCTTTTGATGAGTCAATTTTTTTTAACTGGTGAGTAATTACAAGGGCACTGCAATGAACAATTTCTAGAATGGAACATGCTTTCATTCTTAATGTATGGGAATTCCAGAGCTAAACCATACAAGACACGGGAGATTTCTGGCTGTTTAAATGCTCTTTAGAAAAGCATCAGATGTGGAAGAGTTCCAGATTTGATTTAAGATGACTCCCTGATCCAAAATTTGTATTGGCTTTGAGGAAGAAAGTTAAAGCCTAGATGTTGTCCCTTTATGTTTCTCTACTCCAGAATTAAGAGCAACCTCTATGTTGTGTGTGTATGATCTAAGTTGCCATCATAGTACAACAGATATGTTAAATTTACTCTCCCACAGGTGATGTTCTGTACATTTTCTCTCTCTCCATTTGTTTAAGAAGTGAAAACAGGCTGCAATTTAGGCAATGTTCCCATGGATTATTTCAATGGATTTTCAACAGCGAGTATCATTTGACTTTCTGACTTTGGAATGCCTTTGTAGTGAGCTCTGTTCTATTTATAGTGAGTACCATTCCAACGTAATAGGCCAAATCTGTATTTTCACTACACAGGCTATATCTTATTCCCATTAAACTGAAAATGATATTGCCCACTGACTTTTCTGGGGCAGGACCATTATATATCTGGCATGTTATAAGATAATTGCAGCCAATACTGCCAGTATGATTTAAGGTATGCTTATGCTTGTAGGTAGTCCCTAAAAAACTGTATATTTTACTTAGTTACAGTTGGGATGTTCAGTTACAGAATTTACAGCAGGCTGGGACCTTCCTTTGAATTAATCCAATTTTCTTTTTTTAGTAACCAGTTATGAATTATTTTTAATATTTTAAATATATTTGCTACTAGGTTTTTTCCTTGTTTCTAGTCTGTGTTTTATATTTTTGTGTTTTGTATAATGGTAAATTAGCATAAGCTGCCTAAAAATCTGGGTAAGCTTATAGGTAAACATTAAAATAAATAAGTATTGTAATTACTTAAAAAAAACTATTATCAACAAGATCAATTCATAACTCAGGGTTTTGGGAATAGTTGCTCACAAAAAGAATGAAAAGTTAGAATCCAGTTGATCTCCTTGCAAAGAGAGTTGTACAAAAATCAGAGGTAATTGGGTATATGTTAGGTTTCCACCCAGCTAGGTGGCATGGATGGATGTTGACAAGTTTAGCATTAGACTCTTTGACTAAAATTAACATACGAATCTGGCTAGTAATTTTCTAAATTGGATCCAAGGGATTTGTGCTGGGGGAAAGATATAACACTCAAGAGGATATGTATATACATATACACACACACACATACATACATACATACATAAAGAGAGACACAGAGAGAGAGGTGAAGCCGGCTTATACCTGCTTCTGAGAGCCTATTGTTAAATTTTCAGGAATTTTGAGAGCTGGTTGAGAACAGAGCTGAGCTGCAACAATCAACTGTTTTTGGTGGCTCATTGCATGGTGGCGGCAATGGAGCTGGCAGAACTGTTGTTATTCATTTACTATTAGTGCATCACTGTTTCTCTCGTTTTCTCTCTCTCTCTCTCTCTCTCTCTGTGTGGATGTGTGTATCTCCAGTTAAAGATAGAGTGGCATTTGAATTAAATCCATACCATGCAGAAATGTGCTGTTTTCTACTTGTGACATATTTTACTTCCATCTCTCTTTGTGGCTTAACAAAAAGTAGCTCCTTCTGTTAAATCTAAAGGTCTAAATAATGTAACTAACAATTCACTGAGGCAGTAATGGACCAAGGGAACAGAACTAAAAAGATTTTAATAAAGTATCTTTAATGCTAGTCTGGGTAAATACAGAATCTAGGAAACTAATAAGAATTTCCCAGCCTCAGTTACAGAAAGCTAATTAAGGCTGAACATCTGGATGGAGTTGCCCTTGAGAAGGTAAGCTGCCAACTGAGGAGCCATCTTGCCCCTGTTATATCAGCCTTCCCCACTCGGTCTGGCAGAAGGGAGATAGATAGATAGATAGATAGATAGATAGATAGATAGATAGATAGATAGATAGATAGATAGATAGATAGATAG